GTTGCCACTGACTAGCAAAGCACAAACAGAACAAGGAAGTTGGCTGTTCAGATAAGTCAGGGGTCAGCAAAATTACTGTGGCTGAGGCTGGTGTCTCCAGCGCCGATCGCACAGTGGGCCAGAGGACGGGGGAGCGTGTACCCATATGCGTGCGCACACGCTATTTCCGGCACACTTCCAGGTCAGAGGAGCACCAGAAATAGCTTGTGTGCATGTGCATGGGCCTCGTCTGACCCGGATGTGCACCGGAAATAACACTTGCACATGCGCAAATAACGCTTGTGCATGCGCCCAAGCTATTTCCAGTGCTCCTCTGACCTGGAAGTGGGCAGCTGCACAGCGCAGTGCCAGTAAGAGCGGGCGGCGGCAGCGGGCGGCGGGGGTCACCGTGGGCCAGATAAACAAGTCCCTCGGGCCTTATCTGGCCCATGGGCCTTAGTTTGGGGACCCCTGAGATAAGTGAATCTGTGGAGCATATTGTGAGGTCTGGGCATAATTCTTTACATGCGGATAAGTGAATTTTCAGGTAGTGAGTGTGCGGAAAGTGAGACCAAGTGTATTTGCTTGTAGAGATTTGTGCGGGGAGAAAAGTGCAAAAGGGCCAGTCCCTCCTAACCGAGGATATTGAAGAGGCACCCATTTAGGATCTTATATTTGTGCAGTATTGCCAGGAAGCAAAACTTTCTGCTAAACTCCAAAGTTCTGTGCACCTCTGCAACAGAAAGACTAAGAAGTACACAGCTAGGCTTATTCAGGAGATAAGGATTTCAGTCATCCAATACCTTTCGAAATACATTTTCCAGATTTGACATTCAAAGCACAACCACCACAATGATCGCTCCCCCCACCCTTCTTTCAGGTAACATTCATCTGAATAATGATTTGCAGGGGTTTTGTGGGTTTGTTTTTTTTAAAGTCTACAGCAAATTGCTGTAGTAATGGCATGGAAATTATACATTAATCCCCAACATATTCCCTTACCATCTCCCCGCTTTCTCAGCCTGCACTGGTACAGAATGTTTTTCTCTGGGGAGAAGGTATTGCAAGATCCAACGCTTGAAAGTTACCATTAAATAGTACAAACAGGGAGCCTTAGACTCCTCCGAGCTATATTAAACCCCATTGTGGTTCTTACAGCGCTAGAATATCATGTTGAACATTTTCGGCACCCAGAGACAGCTTTAAAATGTATTACAATAGCACTCAGAGAACATTTTAATATGCACAAGGAAGCAGCTGAGGAGTTGTGAAAAGCGCTGTAGCTTCCGTTCCCCTGGGCATTTGCTTGCATTGTAATTTTCAGTGCCAAATCCTGCTCTGATTCTCATCTCGGCTGCATTCAACAAACCGAAGGAAAAATTACCTCTGCACTCTTAGCTTTTTGTAACTTGAAGCGTATGTAACCTGAAGCGTATATAACCTGAGGTACCACTGTATATTCTGCATAAGTTACTGAGTAGAGTTTTTTCTTATGATCAAGTGGTCTATAGATAAGATAAAATAATAAATTAGATTAGATTGTTGTTGTTTAGTCGTTTAGTCTTGTCTGACTCTTTGTGACCCCATGGACCAGAGCACGCCAGGCACTCCTGTCTTCCACTGCTTCCCGCAGTTTGGTCAAACTCATGTTTGTAGCTTCGAGAACGCTGTCCAACCATCTCGTCCTCTGTCATCCCCTTCTCCTTGTTCCCTCAATCTTTCCCAACATCAGGATCTTTTCCAGGGAGTCTTCTCTTCTCACGAGATTAGATTAGAGATTAGATTAGACTAGATTAGATTAGATTAGATTAGAACTGACTGGCACTGGATTTTAGTTTCTTCCTTCTTCCTTGTAGAAGCTTATAGCCTTTGGGTTTGAAAACTTTGGAAGATGGAGCTATCCCATCCTGTCTCATTCACACATCACTAGCATTGCTTAAAAGAGTGAAAGAAAAACACATAGAGAGAAGTCCAAATTATTAAGGAAAAAATGTTCTTATCTTACAGCTTCTTCATATTTACAAGGATGGATTTGAATTTGAAGATCACATGGTAGGATCTAGTTCCATGGCTGCCTCATGCAGAAGAGAGAGGGAGAGAAAGAAAAGGAGTGGCGCCTGGGAGTTTGTCAGGAAACCACAAAGTATATCTTCCCCTGACCACCTTTTAGTATCAACGTCCGCTGCCTGGAGGCATGCAAAGTTGCTTACATCTAACAGCAGCAGGAAGGAGGATGGGGACAACACTAGACTTAAATTGGTTCAATCCCTGGCATCTCTAGGTGGGACTGAGAGAGACCCCAGCTTCAAACCCCAGAGAGCCACTCCCAGTCAGTGTAGGCAATAGATGGACCAATGGTCTGATGGCATAAGACAGCTTCCTCTATTTCCTAAAACCACACAAGATCAACAGTACTGTCTTATTATAGAGACAAATATTTGCATCTTTAATTTATTAGCATAATGAACCATATTGCGAGACTACAGATACAGAAGCAATTGTTTCCTACGGTTATTTAGCATATGCTAGGTTAAACTCTGGTGTATCAAAGGGGAGAAATCAGCAAGTTGCTCTTGTTATGATAAAAGGCAGAAGAGAATTCGATTCTGTGCTTTAATCTTTCGTGCATTTCATTCAGTTTGCTACCCACAGAAGCCATATTGGAAATCCTGAATAGCTTATTTTCCCTCCAGGCAGATTTCACTAAATAAAGAGCAGCCTCCTGGGCTTGTGTTTAAAAATCGACTAAATGCTTCCAATTTGGCTCCTCGTTTTTCAGGAGGCTGAATAATGGTCTAAATATGAACTCAAAGGCTGAAGTAGCTCCCTCTGCCTAAGAACTGCTACATGGAGGGAGATGGATGGATGCAGCTTTGTGAAACATTTCCAAAAAAGGGGGAGGGAGATGACAGAGGGCATTTTTACAGGGCAGATTTTAGCTGTTTTAATCATCATTCTCTCTACAAGGAGGCATAGGAACTATAGCTCTGAGGGGAACTTTTAGCAGAAAATTCTTCACCAACTCCCTCACCCAATCCCCAGGATCTTTCAGGGTGGGGCGGGGCATCAGGACAGTAATACTAGAATTATTATTATTTATACCCCACCCATCTGCCCAGGCCTCCCCAGCCACTCTGGGTGGCTTCCAACAAAATATTAAAAATACAACAAAACATCAAACATTAAAAACTTCCCTAATCAGGGCTGCCTTCAGATGTCTTCTAAAAGTTAGATAGTTGTTTCTTTCCTCGACGTCTGATGGGAGGGCGTTCCACAGGGCAGGCGCCACTACCGAGAAGGCCCTCTACCTGGATCCCAGTAACCTCACTTCTTGCAGTGAGGGAACCACCAGAAGGCCCTCGGAGCTGGACCTCAGTGTCTGGGCAGAACGATGGAGGTGAAGACGTATAACAATATGTTTACTTGCAGGATCACCTTACCCTCTACAGTGGTGCCTCGCAAGACGAAATTAATCCATTCCGCGAGAGTCTTCGTCTAGCGGTTTTTTCGTCTTGCGAAGCAACCCTATTAGCGGCTTAACGGATTAGCGCTATTAGCGGTTTAGCGGCTATTAAAGGCTTATCGGCTTATCGGATTAGCTGCTAAAAGGCTATTAAAGGCTTAGCGGCTTAGATAAAGGGGGGGAAAGCGCATTGAAAATCTCAAGACTCGCACGTCAGTTTCGTCTTGCGAAGCAAGCCCATAGGGAAATTCGTCCTGCGAAGCAACTCAAAAACGGAAAACCCTTTCGTCTAGCGGGTTTTCCGTCTTGCGAGGCATTCGTCTTGCGGGGCACCACTGTATTTGCCCGCTGGGCTGCTTCAGTCTTCAGAGCTGGCACTTCCACACTTGGCTTACATTCCCAGTATGGATTCCTCATTCCACAAATGCTTGCTTTGTGCTGGGGCTTCCTGCTGACCCTGCAAAGCAATTTGGAGGCTGTGTTAAAGCTCTTTCTTGAGGAGGAGGAAATAACCAGGCAGCCCCTGTGTTAAAGCTCTTTCTTGAGGAGGAGGAAATAACCAGGCAGCCCCTCTTCATAAGAAGAGAGGCTGCCTAGCATACTTCACTGCAAATGGCAGGCATTGGAAATATATGGCAGAGGCTCTAAAATACATGATAATATTATAAAGCATAAAAGGATATTGCAAAATGGTACAGTTTACATGACAGTTAAAATATATGATTTGACACACCATATATTTTCATCTTTTCCTCCCTAGAAAAACGGTGCAGCTGGCATGTGTTGCGTTTCATAGGGGGTTGAGCTGTTTAGCTGTGAACTGGCAAAGGCCACCCAGACAGCATGCAGGGAGGAAAGACTGGTTGGTAGAGTGGGAAAGTAAAAGGCATGATTGCAGGCATATAAAGAAAGAGAAAAGATTTATGCCATCATAAAGGAAATCAGATGCTTTAGCACAGGCATGTCCAACAGGTAGATTGTGATCTACCAGTAGATCACTGGACGTAGATCCCTTCCCCCCCAAAAAAAAGCTTTCCCCCCCCCCCAAAAAAAGCTCACGAACTTTGCCTGTCAATAACAATGGGTAGATCACAGCCAGTATTTTTATAATATGTGAGTAGATCACAGTCTCTTGGGAGTTGGACGTGTCTGCGCAGATAGAGATTATTCCTCCTATTCTGGGTCAAACTGGTCTTCCCACTGGATGAATGGTATATTCCTCCAGGAGTCTTTGCCCTGAGGAGTCTGCCAAGGAGGAAGGAAATGGAAAGAGCCTTATGAATCAAGCCAGTGGCCCATCTAGTCCAGCATCCTGTTCTCAGTCAGATGCCTGTGGGAAACCTGCAAGCAGAACCCAAGCACAAGACCACTCTCTTTTCTTGCAGTTTCCAGCAACTGGTAAGATGGAAAAGATGGTGCTCTTCTTTCTAACTTATCCTAGCCACCTGTGCTGGATAGATGAGGTGGTGGTGGGGAGAGACTTATGCAAGTATGCCTTTCTTCTTCTTCTTCTTCTTCTTCTTCTTCTTCTTTCTTTCTTTCTTTCTTTCTTTCTTTTGTGATCACTGTCTTCCCAAGTGATGTGTAAAAAGTTTCAGAGACACCATTGATGGAATCTTTCGAGGAGCTGGAGATGGTGTTTATAAGTGGTCCATGTTTCACAAGCATACAGTAAGGTTGGTAGTACAATAGCTTTGTAAACAAGCATTTTGGTTTCCCTGCAAATGTACCGGTCATCAAACACTTTGCACTTCAATTGGGAGAAAGCTGCAATCGCAGAGCTCAGGCGATGCTGCATTACTTATTTAATTGGGAGTGTGTTTTTAATCTCACCTTCAAACATCCAGGATGGCTTTAGAGATGCATAAAAGGGAAATGCAAATAAAATATTTTTTTAAAAATGTTGACAAGATAAAAAAAAGACTAGTACAAAAAAGATCAGGAGCTGAAAAATATCAACAAATTTCAGGAAGTGTGGCAAATGATTTAAAAGGAGCAGGGGCAGCTGGTCAGGTGGGTCAGAGCACATGTGCTAGCTTCCGAGCAGATGGGAGGGGAGGGATGAAGCAGCTGGGAGGTCAGCGCAGTGCAAAGACTCTGACAAGAGCACAGGATTGGCTCTGCCAGTGTGTGTGTCCACCATGTCTACTTCCTTGTTGCCTCGTGCTCCAGGTAAACAGCAGCGACTCACCTACTGGAAAACTAGTGCAGCTGCTGTGTCCCAGTGAGGGAGCTGCTTATGCTTTCAAGAATGCAATGGTTTTGCCTGGCCCTGAAAATATACCAGGTGGACCCAGATGAACTTTCCAGGGGATAGCATTCCATAACAGGGGTGCCACCACCAAGGAAGCCCTGTCTCTCACTGCCACCCAGATGACAGGGGCAGCCAGTTCTAGCTCCAGTAATAATTTACACAGCCAATGTCCTATTCTTAGATGTAATTTATTTATATTTGTCTGACAAAATTTATATAACTGCTTATAACCGCTTATTAATCTTTAAAAGACAATCTCTATAATATATTTATAATAAATTATAGATAAAATCAACAGACTTTTAAAACAAGTAGACATAATGAAAATTATCAAAATCTAGATTAAAATTAGCCATCTTATAAACAACTATGCATGATAAAATGACATGTTTGGATAGGCTTGCCTAAATGAAACAAAAAAATAATGCATTTAGCAGTTATCAAAAATAATACAATGAAAAAACTTGCCAGATATCAATAGACAGAGAGTTCTGGAGTGCAGGTGCTACCACACTAAAAGACTGATTCCTCACAAGGTATAATGAAAATTAAACTGCACAAAAAACCCCAGTGTATTTTAAGAATCATAGAAGGGTCCTCAACTAAGAGCCTTTTTCAGGACTGTATTTTTATTATACTTCATTATATTTCAGCCCAAGTCACAGCTTAACCTTCCTCTCCCCTTGTTTTTTAAGCAAAGGGTTTGGTGCCTCGGGAAGCAGTTAGTAGCGCACAGATTCATTTACCGCTTTAAAAGTGTAGCCCCTGAATGTTTAGAACTAGCGAGCTGGCAAGAGAAGGATGTATTCCTGAGGACATGTGGAGTCTGAAACACAGGAAGAAGAGTTTTCCTCCCTCAAGCCAAGCCTTGTCTGAGTACAGGTTCAGAGGCTGGTACATTTACCGAACACTATCCCTGTCAGGGGGAAACAAAAAAGGGAGCAAAAGGAAACTGAAAAATTGATACTGCTTCCAGTAAGGAGGCAAGCGTAAGAGGAGTGCATGGCACATTTCTGGCATAATAATTAGGCATCCAGTGGTAGCTGAAAAACAATAATCAGAAACATAAGGATTTCCTAAAGGTAATTGTTGCATATTCCTCACTTCCATACATGGTACAAAGTTCAGTGGACAGTACAGCCAGGTTTAATTGCCTTTGGATGGGGAAAGCACTCAAGAGATTTATTTGGGATTATTTGCTATAGTTACAAATACACAACCAGACCATAAGTGGAAGCAAAGAGGTGCTCATTCAGACAGGGATGGAGTGGATTCAGTTCACATTCAAAGGCCAACTTCACACATCCCAAAACAAACCGAGAGCCAAAGCACCTTTGAAATCTGCAGGTCTCCAAATTTTGCATTTGTGTACAATGTGTACACAGCCATGTGTACAAAGCAAAAATGCATATACTATGCATATACTAAAGTAAAATGTGCGTGCAAATGCATATATTAGCAAAAAATAACTTGCGGAAATGTGTATATTAGGGAAGATCACTTTGCAAACGTGCAGATTTGCATACAATTGTGTATATTAGGAGAAATTTGCACTAAAACGCTGGTGAATTATTATGAGGACCTTTTTAAAACACACACACACCACACCCTGTGAACAGATCTTGAAATGTGGAGAATTTGGAAAAATGATAAAGTGAGAGGCTGTGGCTGTGCAAGCAGGAATGGAGCAGGAAAAGCAATAGTCTCATGGGTTTGGGTTTTTAAAAAATGCTTACTGAGACCTTATATGAGCACCATTGCAGGTACCAATGGACACATTGGCACCTGCAGATACCATATTGGGAACCCCTGAAGGTACACTATAGATCTGCAAAAGCTTACTTCCTACTGGGGGGGCGGGGAATGATACGGGCACTTCCATTCTTACTTTAGGATTTTTCTGAGCCAATGCATCCATTTGTCACCCACTGTTACCAGCTGTGACCTACGGACACAAGCCATCCATCCCTGTCTGAATTCATATCTACAAGTCACAGCTCTCTCCACATTTTGTTTTTACTTTACTCTTTATTCCAAAGAAACTTCATGAGGATCAATTACTTTGAGATAAATGAATGCTTACAAAGAGAGAAAGGGCTTTCTGTAGGGCAGGAGGACTTCTGTCTAGAAACATGTAAATATCTGCTCGGGGCTGTATCAGAATTTTAAAAGAAAGGCATGTAAATTTCAGATATGAACTAAGTTACTGCGTCTGTTTCAGACAACAAAGTCTGCTCTCAGGCAAATCATTTCATCTCCATGGCCTTTGGTCGTGTCACACCTTCGAAATGGAAAGGGTGCCCAGCCTCCCCCAACCTCATGGAGATGCCAGAGGGCTACATCACTTCAATTAAGCACTCACAGAAGCAAAGGCGCTGCACGAGTCAGGAGTATTTTAATTGCACAGCACGTAAGGCAAACATGGATCCATTGCAGGCTAGAATTGTTACAGTGGAATGGAAGTGATAAAATCAGATACAAGAAGCGAGGATTTGATCTGTACTGCTTCGCATCAATAGGTGGTAGAAAAGAAGTGCAGAAAGCCAGATCATTGCTTGTAGTAGCCCAATATATGGGATATCCCAAGAAGAATTTGCAATCCCCTCTGTTCTGTGTTTCCTCAGTTCTGGTTACTCTCATATGTTGCCTTATTCTGTTAAATTATCTGTTTTCATTTATTGAGGTTTTTTAGTTACATTTTTTGAGGGGAGGATCCCCACCTTGTGGACAAAAAGGTGTGGAATGTGAATATTTCAATATGTAAATGAACACGCACAACTCCTTGTGCCAGGAGCACTCCACAAATAGATGTATCTCTGTGGTATTTTGAGCAGATTGTGCCATTTATTTGATGGTGATGGTTATGATGATGACAATGACACCAGTGGCGATTTTCAACATCCACTCTACAGGATGGGAAATGTCACCGTCACTTTTCAAAGAGATGGACATCGTTTTCCCTGCTCAGACAAGAAGGTCTTATGGTGTCTGTTGCTCAGATTCCACAATGAGATGCATGCAAATGACAGACTGAGAGAGAGTCAGTGAAGTGATATTTGATCAAGAGCATGAAGACGATTTTAATTAGCACCAGGATGAACTTGGGGTGACCTTTGCTCTCTGAGGGTCGGCCCCTGCTTGGCAAAACACACTTTCTGAGGCCTTTGTAGACCTGTCACTCTGGGAAGGAAGGAGGCACCAGACACTGAAAAGCTTTTCCAATGAAGGCAGTGGGTGTTTGCAGGCAATGCAGTGCCCCTTCTCGATTAAAACAGTTTCTGCTCAGTGGATGGAGGATGGAACTGAGTGAAGAGTGAAGATCTTATATCTCTTCTCTAACATTTGCTTTAAGAACCTCTTGTCCTCTTGTCTTTGTTCCTGGTGTTCCAGAGTTGTACATCTGTGTTTGTATGAAGGGACATACCAGAAAAGTATTCCTGTTCTGCTCTTCCTCATCATATCTCAGTGTTTCAGCTCTCGGATAACAACCTCTTAATTTGCTTTTTAAACACTTCTTATTCTCAAGGGAGCATTTCCATGTGGATCTGTTTGCCAAGGATCCCCTGCAACTTTACCACGGAACTGTCATCCATTGCAGAGGATCCCGAGGCGCTAGCACATGCTGTTGGTTCATGTGGAGCAAAAACAAGGCCTAGAAATGTGTCAAGTTCTGCTCTGCTCATTTCAGAAGAATGCTATGTAAGGATAGACAAACTGAACATGAGGAAGATGTGTCTTTCATTAGTGATATCTACTCTGAGAAATCCCTAATAGGCTTCCTGGGAACTTCAGCATTGCTTATAATCTGGAAATAGTCCTTTTATGTAGATTGTATTGTGGGTGTGGGAATATCAAAAGTATATCTATCTGTCTCAAATGATAATGAAAACCCTACTTGCACAGTACCAAAGCAGTAAGCTAAACCACACCACATTTTAAGCAATGCTCCTGGGTCCAAGAGATAAAACTCAAAAGATCATCCATCCACAAATCTGATAAAAATAAAATTGAGGTCATTAAGATGAGAGCCATAGGATCTTTGACTTAGTCTTTGGGGATTCATCCAAGGGCTGCTACTGAGCTACATGACCTGGATACAATCATCAGAGGGCTCAGCAACAAGATCTGATTCAACACACGTTTTCAGCTGCATGTTTATCTACACTTCCATTTTCAAAGGAGGCATAAGGCTGTTGAGCATCCATTTATACTTACTTTGGGCTCAAACGTTAGAGACACTTTCCACTCACCTTAAATCCAAAGCAATATAAAAAGGCAGATAATTTTAGACCATTCCGTCTGAAATACCCTATATATGGGAATGATTCAGAGGAGGATAACTGCATAGCTTTATATTATATCAGCATTATTATGGCTGATTTAGAACAGAGCTTCTTCACTGCCTATTCCCTATTGCCTCTCTTCTACCTGAATGTCATCAGCTAGAAAGCTGAGAAATTCCAGCAGGAATTAACATAAATATGAAATAGCACAGCCTCCATAGCACGACAAGCAAAGCAACACAAATTATAACATTAGAAACACCATACTTGGTGACCTAGCATTTTAAAAAACTTGGGGGTTTTTTGCCCAACAAAAAAAAAATTCCTTTGTCCCAAAGGTTTGCTGTGTGCTGGTCTGTAAGACAGTTTTGATTAACCTTTGAATGAACTTACCTATCTGGTTATATTCATCTAAATCTAACACAAGAAGAATGGACTTGAGCAGGGTTTGTGTGAAATGTTTGGAAAGAGTGATAGACAGGGACTTGTTTTAAGTCAATGAATATTTTTGTTAACATAGGATGTGTGGTTTAGGAAAGATAACCACGCAACACACAGGGACACACACACACAGAGACCAGTTGTCATTACCTGTTGTAGATAATGGATGGGTGCCTATTTTTGGTCTGTGACTCTTGCATTAAAAGAATTGTTAATGGGTTGCAGAGATGCGTTTATTTTCCAGTGTTCAGGAGGGACCTGGTAATTCGTCTCTAGCTTTGACTGTGATCTGAGCAACAGACTTTAAATTCTCTTCTCTCATTTAAAGTGGGCTTTTAAGAGTCCCTGAAGCTCATTTCCAAGCCTGATTCAGAATAAATTCACCAGCACCTGGTAAATTTTATGCTAAATAGTTAATTGAGCTGAGGCATTAATCTAAGGTTACCAGATTTTTTTTTCAATGAATCCGGGAACACTTTTCAACTTCCTACTAAATAGATGGATTTTGTCAGGGGACTGATTTGTAAATCCAGGGACTGTCCCGGGGAAACAGAGACGTCTGGTAACTTTACATTAATCATCACAGTGCGCGCGCCCGCACACACACACACACACACACACACACACGAATCACAACATACTTTCAAATGCAGACACACAGCCTGTCCTCCTGCTCTTCAACTGATCTGCAGAGAGGATGAGATATTTTCATTCCCATCAGGACTGAGAAGAGAGGTTTGATACCAAAACACACCCACACCCACACCCACCCACTGCAGCTTCCATGGTTCTGCCACTGCAGATGCCTTTGACATTGGCAAAAGTTAAGGATATCCAACAGGCCATTTTTTTAAAAGTCACCAACCTGGCATTCATGCAATGGGAGCTCAGACATGTGGCACAAGTACAACTGAGATCATTTCCATTATGCCTGAAAAAAGTGAATAATGCCTTGAATGGATGTTAGTGCTTCTGTTTGTAGAACATTCAGTAAGAGACTGCAACTGTCTCAGACTTCTTTGTTTTGCCAGGATGATTTGGTAGTGTTTTTGCAAGGTTCCTCTGCTCTGTATGTTTGCTCTTGAAATATGAGAAGAGACCTAGTTAATTTCTTTGTGGTCCTGTCTATATACCCAACTGTATGAGAGGGAAACTTACCTGGTTTCAGGTGCATGTGAGGAGGAGACTGAACACTGGTTCGGGTTAATGCACTTTGACCCAGGATTCAGCTGGTTGAGACTGAAACAGCTCCAGACTGCCTCAGGTCAGATGCGGTCTGCCTGGAGAGATCCAGGCCTGTCAAAAGACAGAGGTCAGGCAGCAAGGAGAGGAGGGAGTGAAGGAGACAAGAAGGCAGCTTGCATATATCTTCTTCCTTTCCCTCACTACAAGTTTAATCAGGCTTCTAGCCCCCAAACTGACCTGGGACAATCTGGGGCCAACTCAATCTGATCCTTGCCCCAACCCAATTCAGGGGCCTTGAACTGTCATGAGGTTGGCTTGGGTGGGAAGGGAGAAGGAGATATGACAGTCGTCATCCTCCTCCTCCTAACCATGTATTTAATTAGGGTTTAAAATCTTGACTAAACACGCAGTCATGACAAGGAGAGGCAACCCCGTGGCATGACTATGCAGGGACCCTGTATCAGTTCAGGGCCCAGAGCCAAGTCAGGCCAGCCATTGATCATCCTGGGTTGGACTGGAGCTGCTACTAAGTGCTGGATTGGGCTTCAAATCATATTGGGGGGTGGGCATGCACAGCTCTGATTGTTACAGTATTATTTTTGAGATTTCTTTGACTGTACAGTATGTTTGTGCTATTTCCTTAATTAAGAAAAAGAAAATCTATAATTACCTTTATGTTCAATATTATTATATTACAATTACAGGACAAATCTTGACTTTTAGTTGGAGCACTAAGGAGCAGTCAATGAAGTCTTCTCTACTTGTTAAAATACTGTTAAGGGTCTTCATGTAAGCATTTCTGAAGCTATCCTATTCAGGTTTCGTTTCGGTGACATGCTTTGTTTCTGTTTTGCCTTGCAATTCAGCAAGCCTGACAAAGTTGTCAGCACCATGTCTGTCATAACAACAACAACAACAACAACAACAATTTATTATTTCTACCCCAACCATCTGGTTGGGTTTCCCCAGCCACTCTGGGCGGCTTCCAACAAAAGATTAAAAATACATCAAAACATCAGTCATTAAAAACTTCCCTAAACAGGGCTACCTTCAGATGTATTCTAAATGTCAGGCAGTTGTTTATTTCTTTGACATCTGATGGGAGGGCGTTCCACGGGGCGGGCGCCACTACCGAGAAGGCCCTCTGCCTGGTTCCCTGTAACTTGGCTTCTCGCAGTGAGGGAGCTGCCAGAAGGCCCTCAGCACTGGACCTCAGTGTCCTGGGGCTAAATGATGGGGATGGAGATGCTCCTTCACGTATACTGGGTTGAGGCCATTTAGGGCTTTAAAGGTCAGCACCAACATTTTTAATTGTGCTTGGAAATGTACTGGGAGCCAATGCAGGTCTTTCAGGACCAGTGTTATATGGTCTTGGCGGCCACTCCCAGTCACCAGTCTAGCTGCCGCATTCTGGATTAGTTGCAGTTTCCGGGTCACCTTCTAAGGTAGCCCCACGTAGAGTGCATTGCAGTAGTCCAAGCAAGAGATAACTAGAGCATGCACCACTCTGGCGAGACAGTCTGTGGGGAACCATTTTTCTCCAGCTCAAACTTACGAGTGTGAGGATCCACACACAAAAACAACACTATTTAGAACTTTGCTACATATGATCCTGGGAGAGCTCAGTCAGTAAAGAATGAAACTCTTAATCTTGGGGTTGTGGGTTCAAACCCCACATTGGGCCAATGATTCCTGTATTGCAGGCAGTTAGGTCAACTCTACAAATCTATGATACTATGATTAAATTGGGCTGAACGTCATTTATGAAATATATCATATGACACCAAGCAGATTGACAAGGAAGCAGTACAGAAATGAAATGAACACAATTTGCATCAGAGGGATTCATTTCTCACAACAACAAAACAAGAAGATTAGAAATGTATGCACTTACCAAATGTAATTTTCCATGGTTATTTGTGCTGCAAATGGTTTGTGTCAATTAATATAGTGCCCTAACGGTACATCTCCATCTCTTCCCCCACCCCCACCTCATGCCATCCAGGGACATCTTAGTTACATTTTTTGTCTATATTTGTTGGGAGCTACTCAGTCTTTTCTTTCATCTTGATAAACGCAGATCACAGCTGCTTTGACCTCAATTTGCTGTGATACTATCCATTACTGATTTATTCCACCACTGTCATGCTACACCAAATGCTTAATATTCATGGCAGGGCCTCATCAGCCTTGCATATGACTCCTTGTGAACACAAGAAAAGCTTTTAAGAGACAGTTGTCTCTCCCGATCGAGAAATGTGCCCAAGATGTGAAGAGACGTATTTATTGTATTTCTTTCAAGAATTTACAAAAGGCTTAATATAAAGTGTCTAAGCAGGGAGCAAGAGTATATAAAAATACATAGGATAAACCCTAAAACTGACAAAACATCATTAAAAAAAACACTTCATTGTAGATCAGATCGGCAGTAAACTAAACACAGCAATTCAGCTGGGGACAGCCTGAATATATGGAGTTCTCCTGCCTCCACAGGCTTATCCATGCAAAGGTGCGTCTCCTTGTACATATTTTGTGTGTGTGTGTGCAGAGAGACATCTCCTTCATTGAGATAAAGGGGTATCCTTCATGTGGAAGAACTTCACATTCCCACAAAGGGGAAAACATGCTGCCCCCATAGTAACCCTTGTTATGCTGTATTTTAATTGTAAGCCACATCCAGAAATTTGTTAGAAGGTGGTGTACATGGACCCCAGAATCACCCTGTCTCTGTACTTTTTAAATGAAATCCATTCTGTTTCTGAGTCACTCAATGTTCTGTCTGTTTTGATTTGGTTTCCAAGCTGTCCTGTTTAAAATAAATAAAATAAAAATGAAGCTCTTTGTGGTACCCATTCACTCTTATGCGGATTTTTTTTTAAAAAAGCTATTAACTTTATCTGCTTTTGACAAAAGTAGATGAAATGTGCAGGTACAGGTTGTGTCACCCCTGCCAACTTGCAGGCCCAGAGGTTTTTATGGGGAAAGTCAAAGAGATTCACTTTTCTGAATAATCCTTACTAGGACAATACCTTTATTAGGCCAAGTGAAACTAAGACATTGCACACCGAGTTTCTAGTCACGATATACTAGCGGACTGGCTTCACAGACAAATGAATATCTACAATGACCATCCAAGAACCTAAAAGCATCTGGTGCTAACAATTGC